ACACACACACACACACACACACACACACACACACGCACTCTCTCTCTATCTCTCTCTCTCTCTTTCTCTCTCTCTCTCTCACACACACACATACAAACATACACACACACTGTGACAAAGAGATGTTGACTTACATTGTCTTGCTGGCAAATGTTGTCCGTAACCTGACCCTCACATGAGACAGACGACATGGAAGTCACGAGGGAACTGGTGGCACCTAACACGCCTGGGAAAGAAAAGAATAAAAAGTTAATTTCATGTTAGTCCAGGCAAGAGCATCTTGCACAGAATTCTACACTTCTGTGGCATCTTGTCAGTTTGTTAGTTTTGGGTGTGTGCAATCCGCAGCTTGCACCGAAAATGTTTCTGAGTCTTATTAAGTCTTTCTCTCTCTCTCTCTCTCTCTCTCTTGCCCTTTTTAACTCCCAGTGGAACATAGGCCATCAACAACATTTCTCCAGCGAAGCCTGTCCTATGCATCCTTTTCTAGCTGTTTCCATGATGTCCCCGCCTTTTTCATCTCCATTATTAATTAATAAGCCCCCATTAGCAGTTAAGTCTGGCCTGCGAGTCGAACCAGTAATTAGGCCTAATAATGAATGTTGCCCAGGGCGAAATAATAATTAATTAATAAAGACAGAACCGCCAGACTTGAAAATTAAAATCAATAGTATTCGCCATAGACGGGAGCAATAGATGTAATATTTTATGTTATGAAATGCTCCTGAGTTACATATTATGCTGTGGTGTCAGTTTTAGTCCCACTTTTGAAAACTTGAGTATTTCAACGGATTGCCTCCTGTTTTCTATTGTTTTGGCCTGCGAGATAATAATATATCTATACGGAATCGTTGAATTCGACCGCGACTGCAACACGCTTGCCCATAGACCTGCAGCACCTGTTTCGGAGTTTGTTTCTTGATCTCTCTTTCCTTGTCTCTTTCTCTCTGCCCCCCCTCCCTCTCTCTATACTTCGCTAGCTCTTTCTTTTTCTCTCGCTCTCTCTCTCTCTCTCTCTCTCTCTCTCTCTCTCTCTCTCTCTCTATCTATCTCTCTCTCTTTTCCTTTTTTGTCTCTTTCTCTATCTATCTATCTATCTATCTATCTATCTATCTATCTATCTATCTATCTATCT